TCGACGGGTCGCTGGTGCTATTGTTTTCAAAGTGCCACAACAGCGGACCTCGAGAAAGCCAAAGGGTATGGTTCGCATGAACAGGGCCATGCGCATTCGAGTGAGGAAAACCTACCGAGATTGATCCAGACACCACCCGGTGCTAGTATGCGGTGGATGACGCGAAGGTAATTTACGATGTTCTTCGCCTGTCATCAAAGAACGGAGTGAGATCTGTATCGATTGGGAGGTTTGGAAGGGTCCCTTACTGTGTCGATGAAGAAGCAGGTAAGCACAGCATCCCATTGTCCGGAATGGGGCTCGCTTTCGCCTGTGTCTTCGGCGCCATATATCTCTTCAAAATCACCTGCAGTCGAGCTGCAGCGAAGGATAGCAATGGAGTACAGATATTGGCGCACCGGCTACCAAGGAAAAATCGGATCCAGGAGGTAGATCAGAGGGAAGGACATCGGGGATTTTGACGGGTCGAAGCAACGCGGCTTTGGAAGGGATGTTCGAGAACGAATGGATGTACGGGTATATCGTATGTTCCCCGATTGCCTCAGTTCTTGAGCACGAGTTAAGCAAAGTCGACGGTAGCACTCTTAGAAGCAAACCTATTGAGAATGAGGTAGGAGGAGAGGAGCATATAATGAGAAAACTCGTTTCCCTGACAAGCGAAACCTGGAAGTCCGAGTCAGTATCGCGGTCGGGTTGGACAGTAAATGCGTTAGACCTAGCTTCGCAACGTCGTACGCCAATCTCCCAAGACCTGCGCCGGGTATGAGGACTCGAATCGTTCGTCTGGTGCTTTCTAGTCAACGAACTATCCATGTTCACCGGGAAATAGTGTGTGACCTATCTCGACCTTCAAAATATTCCTCAAGCGCCCTTTTCATCGGCTCATAACATAAATCACGCTCGGCCTTGCCCTGGAAACGTATCGTTGACGGACGGTGCACAAGGGTGACGTGAAAAAACTCACGTCTTCACTCCAGTCACGAACAAACTGCTTGAGCGTGCTTCTCAACTTGTCCATGTCAAAGTCCGTGGGCCTATACCTTGCCTGACCCTGCCCATTTGCCTTCCTCGGATCTGGGATTTTCGCCTCGTTCGCATTCGGGTGTGAGTGGCCGTGTGAGTAGGACGCATCCCCTGAAATCATGGAAGCATGTGAAGAGATCACCATTCGGACAATATCCTACCTTGTCCTGCCAATCTCTCGGATGACTGCAAAGGAGACTCTGAATCTTCCAGCCCCTCGTCCCGTTCTACGTCACAATCTTTCCCCAAACTCACATTATGTCCAAATATCTCTGGGTTGGCGACGATTTTGTTCAAAAAGTCGGCGTTGGCGAGGATGGCCGCCTCGATCTCTTGGAGTTTCCGTCTGTAACCTATCGAATCGAGCAACGCCTTGTCTGCATGTGGAAGCGTATAGAGATCTTTTCTGCGACGATTGTTGGCCGTCAGCTGTCAGCGATGGGTAGCGACGTGGTCAGCGTGTCGATCGAGTTGAGGTATGGGCTTGTTACCGAATATTGAGCGTATTGTCGGAATGTAGTGACGACGTTTGAGAAATGGGTTTGTTCTTCCTGAATGTCTTCCTCTGAAAATTGAGGCGACATTGCGTTATAATACAAACGAGACGTGATAATGTGATGCCGTAGTACGGTTATCTCGTTACGTGGCTTTGTTGATTTCTAAAGTCTTTGCCAAACAAACGTCTCACTTACCCTCATACTTCCACACACCAATACATCACCATGGTGTGTCTACAATCCACTTACATTTTGTTCAAGGAGATCATCATATACTCACACATATCTTACAGGCACGTAATGAAGAAAAGGCTCAATCCATGCTCTATCGTTTCCGCGAGGCCCAGGCGGCGGAACTGGGCCTCGGCACCCGCGCTGACAAACGCCCCAAGATGGCCAGCGCATGCAGAAGTCTCCGCGAATGCGAACGCTGGCGAGGCGAGATTCTGCGCGAAATCAGCCGCAAGGTGTCCAAGATTCAGGATGGTGCGCGTCTCTCTTGTGGTTCCCATTCACGCTCGTCTCACTACCACCTCTTGTTCTGCAGCCGGTCTGACGGATTACGAGGTACGCGATTTGAACGACGAGATCAACAAGTTGTTGCGTGAGAAGCGGCATTGGGAGAATCAAATTATCACGCTTGGAGGTGCCAACTATAGACGAAATGTCGCCATGCTGGATGACGATGGCAAGGAGGTACCGGGTACTAAAGGATACAAGTACGTTCACCCCCACTTCACGTCCCATTCCAGTTACTCATCATTTAATAGATATTTTGGTCGCGCCAAAGAACTCCCCGGTGTTCGCGAGCTCTTCCAAAGTCGGAAAAAGGAGGAGGAAGAAGAAAACCAAGCCTTGGCGTATTATAAAAAGTTTATGCACCAAGGACCGGCTTATTTTGGAGACCTGGACGAGGCTCAATCGGGGAGTGAGCTGCTCGAATACGAGCAGGAGGCAGAGGAGTCGGAATGGCGGGAGGCACAGTTGCGGGTTCGGGAGGTTCTCCAAATTGAAAAGGACGATCCCATTCCCGATATTCCTCGTGGTCCAAGACAATCAGTATCTGCTACCCCGTCGGACTCATCACCCCCCTCCAGCACATCGTCGATAAATCCCAAACGGAAAGCCGATGGTGATGTCAATATGGCAGATGAGGATGACTCACCGCCCGAAAATGCCAAACGATCCAAGACAGATTCGGTCAATCAATCACTCGTATCTGCTCCTGCGCCGAACTCGATGCAAGCCCACGCCCAGCTGGCGGCAACATACATATCCTTCCTCTCGCCAGAGGATCTCCTCCCACCGAAGATGCCAACGAAGGAAGAGATGGAGGGCGTACTACTCAAATTACAAAAGGAGGCGTTGGTGAACGAGTATTTCGGAGACTCGTAGCTGTAACTTATGCATCTGTTGCATCTCACTGCTCGCACACGCTGATTGTTCTGGTATTCGACATAACTTGATCTTCATCTGTGTGTGCTATGTGACAAGAGAAAGTGTGGGTAAGGTTGTCCATCTCAGCTCAGATCTCCCATGACCATAGGAGACTCGATGAGGTTTTGATTTTGATCCCGCCGTGACTTGGGGCTTCTCACCATCAAGTCTGCTTGTTGCCTGGACGGAGTAGCGAGTTAACGCCCACTCAAATAGAATGGTCAAGTCGTCATTGAGCTCACAGTCGCATTCGCAAAAGCAATTTGCGATTCGTGCTTTGGATATCCGAAGCCGTCTTCATGGCGTTCTCGAACAGCTCCGCGCGATGATCCGTCTTCTTTGCTTTCAAGATCTACGGGGAGATGAGAATGCTGAGGTCCAAACTATGAACCGTAAATCGTTACCTTGTTCTGGCTATCCACCCGTCCCTGGATTTGACCACTTTGAATGAGGGTAACAACCTCCCGCTCGACTTCCTCGATACTCCAACCAAATGCCAATGCCATGCGATCAAGACGGATTGTCTCGAATGGCTGGAAGTACAATACAACTGCCTTCTGCCTCAATTGTTGAGTGACATCGTTCACGTGAACACTCAAATGTATGTCTATGTAGTGTCTCGTCTATCCCAAACCGCAGATGTCACACAACACGACCAAGGACGAGAAAAAGGTGGCTCACAGAATATCGGGAGAGAATCTCGAGCGTCGTCTTGAAATCGCTGGACATGTATGCTCGTATGAGGTCTCGAATGTATGGTTCCTGCTCTATATATGCGGAAAAGATGGCATTTTGAAGGAGTTGTGACTTGATGGCGGAACGCGACAGGCTTGCAAGCGCACATAGCGTGCCGTAAATAGCGATATCACCTGGAGCGACGAGCTGCACGATCAAGGGTATCAGTCATCATACACACCATCAGGGTGCGTCCCCACCTTCCCAACCCAATCGCCGAGTTGTGATGGAGAGCCTAGTCGCAGGAAAACCGAGGCCGCCCTCTCGTAATTACCCTGTCCAAGGTGCGATAGAGCCATGCCGAAATCGAGCTTGGATTGCACCTGCTTCGCGCTCTGGGCTCGCTTTCTTAGACGCGGGTAGAGCGGTTGCGCCACCTTCTGTGTTGGCGGCAGCGGCAGCGGCAGCACTTTCCAATGCACCGTCTGCTTTGTAAATGTACGACGATATATGTGTATAGTTGCGCTGCTCGATCACGAGCTGCAAACACGATCGATAATCTCCACGCGAGCATCAAAGGTCGGGCGTACCTCCAGAACAGAAAGACACATATCCAGCACATGTTGACCCGTCGAACAAAATTCGCGCAACTTCGTAAAGTGTTTCAACGCCGAGGCAAAATCGCCTGTGGCGCGGTAATACTCGCCAAGATCCCTGTGCGCCATCTGTCGCCGGCCGTGAACGACAGATGGTTTGGAAGCACACATGAACGTACCCGAATGCTCTCTTTTATCATGTTGTTCGTATATGTCTTGAGCTCGACCTCCAATTTCGTCCGTTCAGCAACGTTCCTCTTGGTGACCTCCTCGATCCAGGCGGTGTCCACGACGACAACATCGTTCGCGGGGGGTAGACCTTGTCCCTCGGGCAACGCCGCCGCATTCGCGTACGCGGTCAAGGCAGCTTGTACGAGCGACGGATCACGAAGGTGGTATAGGTGGCTGAACGCGAGTTTCAGGGCTTGAGGGGCGATGGCGGGACACGAGGCGATGATGGTGAGGAGTCTGTCGACGGCTGTACGGCCTGTGCACGGTCTAGACTCGACAGCGTCGTTTGTGAACGCGAGGAAGACGTACCAGTGTAACTGGCGATGTACGCGTCGAGATCAAAGGGGTGTGCATCGTCGACGGGTCGTGCAAGTCGTCGTCGGGGCTGCTGCGTTGAATATTGGTTGGCAATTTCAGAGTCGATCGGGTCAACGTCCATCATCTTGATGATAGGCTCGCAACAAAGCCGTGCTCGATGACAGGTGAGGAGAGTCTCTTGTCCAACGTTGACGTAATACCCTCGAACAATTCCCCCCTCATAGGGCACTTGGCACAGTTGGTAGCGCGCACGCTTCGCACTGAAGATTGCGTGAGGTCGTGGGTTCAACTCCCACAGTGTCCACAGCTTTTTTTCTCTTTACATTGCTCTAACATCAAATCAGACTGCAAGTAAATTTCGCAAAATGTGTAAGGTAGTCAGTGTAACTACTCGAAACGTTTCCATGCATGTTTCTCGTACTCCTTCGGCTTTGCTTTGCGCCTCGTTGGTCTGCAAAGTTGCATCTTAGCGTGAGGTTCAGAGGGGCGTGGATGAATACTTACAGTACAGGAACACGAGGCTCGATCAACGCGCGTTGCTGAAGACTCACGAAACGATCGCGGAATAAGTTCCCTTCAGGCTAATGACCGCACTCTCAGCAAAGTGATATCCATAATCACCCTTCACATACCTTGATATTCCTGAGGTTTTCACTCAGATCCTCCCCAATCTGTACCTCGATCTCATTTTCCGGAATACGATGCCTTCCGAGTCGTTGGCCCGCAAGGCCTTTTCGTAGCTTCAGCCGACGAGCAAGCTGGCGTACTAGGCGAGCTTGTTGGCGGGCATCTGCAAGCTTAGACAAGTCAGATCGCAACCCCTTGGCCTGGTTGATTGAGTTGAGCAGGCGTTTCCGCAGGGCTTTCTCCGCCAGTGCATGTTTCTGTGTTTAGCAACTTTGTCAATCATAATCCCAAGCGGAGTCTCTTAAACACATACCTCTGCTTTTTGTTTTGCCATGCGAGCACGCTGTTGTTTGGTTTTCCTCGCAGGTAATCTTTTGGGTACTGGAGCAGGGCGCATCGTTGATGGTTTCCACGTCGTCCTTGATCTCGTCAATGTCCATGCCGACGGGAACACCCTCCAAGACAGTCAATTGCGGCAGATGCACGCGCCTGCTCAATCTTCTTTTTAGCATCCTGAAGACGATCTGCCTCTTCCTGCCTTTGTTGTTCCACTTTATACGCTTCCATGAGGAGTTCCTGGTGTGCCTGCACGGGTGGGTTATAAGAAGCACCTGGATGTGGAGCAGACACCGCAGGAACGACGATCACATCTCGCGGGTGGCCAAGTTCGGGTTTCTATCACCACGTAGGTCAGTGATACGCTTGACCTGATCGCCCGGCGAGATACCTCACCTTGATCGACCGGTTTTGAATGGTTTCTAGCCCATCGGGTATGATCTCCTCGACAGTCGGAACGTCCCACAGGTCGTGTCCTCCACTATGCTTGACGGCATGCGAGACGTCGATGGCAGCGCTGCCTGCGCCGAATTCGGTCGGGTCCATGATAGCATTGAAATGTCCTTTCCGCGGACGCTTCGCAATCCGCAATAGTCTTTCCTTGTCGGCACGAGAAATTTTGCTCCAGACGATTTCGTTGGGCGCGACAGGACAGCAGGAACGGCAGACCGTTGTGAAATAATTTTTGTGGACGTCAATTCGGATTTCGAGAACCGAGGCAACGATTTTCGAACTGGGATACGATTGGTGATCCTGCAGATGTTCTGGAAAAAATTGGCATTTCGCACCTTGCTCATCCCCCTTGGTATCGACTACAAAGAGTTGATCGTTTGTCTGCTTTTGTAGTATTGACCTGGATAACACGTCGCATGAGCGGAGAGGCAACGTTGCAGCCCAACTGACCCGACGACCCGTTCCTCCGCTCGAAGGCTCTCCAAACCTTCTTCAACAGGCTGAATGTCGATGTTCTTTCTCCATGCTCGTTTGCCCTTGCGACTCGACTGTAAAAGCTGGGAAGGCGCGCCAACTGCGGACCTTGTTTTCTTTCTGACCACCTTTGACGAGGTGTTAGAAGAGGTTGGTGATGTGGTTGAAGTCATATCCACTCAAGACTACTAGTGAGCTTGACGTTTGTCGTTATGTCTGGTGAGTTACGTAATCACCACTAACTCTTTCTCTGATTCTCCTGAATCTTCTGGATGGGTTCCAAAGGAGCGCACATTCGAGACACGACACGGTGTGGAAGCTAGCAGCTCAACGTTCAACGTTCAACATCGGAGTGCAAACACAATCTTGTCTTCTACGTCCTGACAGGACTTGCAATAATTAGTCTCGGAATTGGCGGAGACGGTGTCAGAAAGAACGGGGTAGCGGTGAGTACTGACAGTCAAGAACCGGGTAATGTGCGACGCCAACATCGGAGGTGAAGTCGCTCATTCGCAACTTCATAGTGAAGCGAATGGCGCGCGATCTCTTCAAAGTCCCGACAGTGTTTTTATCACGTCCATCGATATCCCTTTGGTGGGGTGTATCGACTCCCAGTCTGGGCATGAATAGCGCAACCGAATGCGCGACGACGGCTGATTTAGCACTTGACGTGCGCCATATAATTCCTTTACAAATCTGGATATGGTTGTCATCCTTGCGACTGAAATTTACAGAGAATCCCCTCTAAATCCTGACCGTAACTACCCATCGGAGAGCGCCACATCGTATCCGAGTCTGAAATTCTGATTTCATTCAGGGACTGAGCAAATCATACCATGATAATGCGGGGTGCTCGCATCAAGCTCCGGCCGTCTGGCAGGTTCGGCCCCCGTGGTACTCCAAGCGCAACCGAGGACTGATCGTGACAGGAACCCCCAATGGAGTCTTTTTTTCCCTTCATTGAAACGAATTAGCATATCGAGTTCGGTATCGAGTAAGACGTCTCATCAGAGACTAGCTGTAGACGAGCAATCAACGTCCGATTTGGTCGCACCCATATCCAATTTACTTCTCTCCCAAGCTTATGGGCCCTCGATGCTAATTGTGACCCGCCGGTGTATACTCGGTCAGTCTTCATGTTGGATTCGCTCCATAGGACCATGACCACACTCAAGTCATCCCATGATCGTGCTAGGCCTATGGTTGACTCGAGGCTTTTTTGCACTTACATCCCTTCGATGGGTACGTTTCTCTCGGTCCAACTTGAATATGATAAGCGAAACGAAATCTCACCCGTCTTCCTACAGACTCGGTGAAGTTTGTTTCAGAATCAAGTTTCAAGTTACGCCCCTTCGGTTGATCGGGGAGCCTAGTTCAGTCTGGCTTTTATAGTCGAAAAGCAAGGAGCTTCACTTGACCCGTCTGAATTCATTCATTTTGGTTCGGAGCATCGATCTCAAATGGCTACCACTACTTTGTCCAGGACTTACTGCTTGTAGCCTTGAAGGGAGATCAAGACAACAATTTGAAGGAATACGGCCTGTACTTTCACGGTGCCCATTCCATCTTAGACGGAGGACCTGCAGTCCAAGCACTGAGCCTCACATGTGAAAGGATCTCTAATCATGGCACGGAAGTCAAAGTCGCACCTACAGACGAATGGAAGAACCTCCTGGTGGATCCCAAGAATAGGAGCCGCCAGGAAAATACCTCCAGCAGGCTCTGGTGAGGGCTGATCGCGGGGGGGGGGCGGGTATCATCGACGTCTATCTTGAGCGGATATGCGATGCTGGTCGGTGCAACCGGACGGGGGACCTGCTATCCTCTTGTGTGCCAATCCTTCTGACGTGCCACGTCGATCTTGAATGTAACATTCGAAACTAGCAACCTCGGTTGGATGTCGTGCCTCACGCCAGCTTGTTTCAGTGTAAGAAGCCGAGATTCAAAGGTAGGATATTGACAGGAGGTAATCCAATTCTAAAATCTACAAGGTATCCACGACACCGCCCCCGTCGCGTCCTTCCCTGCAGCACGCGCGGTTTCGCCCGACGGCACCCCCTACTTCCTGTGCTGTGTGCGATACAAGTCCGGTTGACCCCGCAAAAAGTATGGGTGTTCAAAGCTTTAAAGCTCCAAAACTTGGTGTCCGAGTCAGCACGAAGGACGCCTTGTTGGAGATGATCGATCTTGTGGAAGCCGTACATTTTGAGTTGGTAGCCAAAGGAACTAAAGTTGCTGTGCTTGACTCGGAACCAGTGTCTGAGGACTTCCCTCGCGAATCGCTCTTGGCCGAGAACTGAGGCAACATGGACAGTTAGTTGCTAGCATCAGACCATCTTATGAGATAGTTGTCGGGGAATCGTTGACTATGCTCTCAAGTGCCGAGCGTATGAACAGATTGAATGAATAGTGAACGTTTGAACCCTACTAGGCAAATATTAGATAAAACATACACGTACCCGTATCGTTTCTGGAGGAACAAAGGTACGAGTTTTCTGGTTGGTCGGTGGTCAGCGGTCAGCGGTCGTCGTCGTCGTCGTCGTCGTCGTCTTATGTTCAAGAAGAACTGGAAAACATGTAAACAGACGTTAAAAAATACTTCTTTCGGGCTGTTCGCGTCTCAGGAAAGGAGAGGCGTGGATAGACCGCTTCTGGGAGTTGGGTGGCGAGCAGAATCAGCAGATAGTTCCTGACCCTAAGTTGTGAGCACGTGACCAGGTGAAGGGAAGTCTGACCGGTGGACCGGGGATGAGACCGACCGACCGAAGCACAGAAGGCACATCCGAAGCGAAACATCCGACTATATTGTTTGCATGTGGGGCGAAAAGGATACTGCGAACCACAGCCGACGAGTGAGATCCGAAAGCGCCGAGGCTTCGCTTTTGTATTTGCCCCGTTGACCGGGCCCCGAAAATCACGAACCTAACCTCATTACCGTGAGAGCAGTTGCTCTCTTTGGATAATGATCATCATGCTTGAGAGAGAGATGCCAGCTGCGTTACGTCGCAGTTGTACTATTACAGTTGGCGTTGTGGGCGACAGTGCCAGGTAACACTCAACGAAGGAAAACGAACGACAGCGGAGAATGGTCTAGTCAAGAAGCGGATACGACAGGCAAAGTCCTTCATTTTTCAGCTTCGTAGTTCAGCGCGTGGCGCGTGATATGCCACTGATATCCCCGGGCTCCAGTTCTTTGGCAGCGTTTTTATCCCCTTACATCCTGTGTGTACATCCGCACGTTCTTTTCTTTGGTCATGCCAGTGTTAAGCATCCTAATGGTCGGTTTGAAGTGATCTTGCTCTCAGGCTCCATGACCCCAGGCAACCGGAACCAAAGATGAAGTGTTTGAACTTTCCGGGATTCCAGGTGTGTACGATTGACGTTTTCTGGTTACAATTATGTACGCACTCTGTG